ACAGAGGCCCCAGGCAGGAGAGAAGGCGGCATCGATTGCGGCTGCCAGCCGGGAAAGACTCAAAGAGGGTGTCGAAGTCTTTCTGCGCAAGGGCGGCAGAGATCTTCTGCTGCAGCCGGGCCTGCGGGCGTGCGATTGAGCTGCGCGAGAGGGGGGATGGCGACAGAAGGGAGGGATGCGGAGAAATCGATGCGGGCGGATGCCGCCGAGACGAGCCATTCCAGCTGGAGAAGAGAGGCTTCTGACTCGGGCATGCAGGGTTGCCCACGGAAACGATCCCACACATCCCCCACGGTGACGGCCACGGACCCCAAGTAAGCACCCGGTGCGACACGCGTGGACGACACCAGCCCAAAGCCCCCCAACCGGATGGGAAGCTGCACCTGCCGGTGTGCCGAAGTAGACAGGGCGCCCGTGCGGTGGATGCTGGTGAACGCGGTGACCTTCGCAGCATCATGTGCACGGGCGGCCGCCAGGAGGGGCGGGGAGGGGGCGAGGAGGCGGCATCAGTAGAGGAAGCGAGGAAACCCACAGTAGCGAAGGAGCAGGTTCGCCCCCTGCACTGCATGGTCCCAATCGTCGACAGCAAAGGCAACGACGGCGTTGAGGAGGCGCTGATGCTTGGCGACGACCTCGTTCACGACGCGCTCGATGAAGGCCGGGGTGCCGATCGGGGCGGACAGGAGGATGATCCCTTCTGTAGATGCGCGCACACCTCGACTCGTGATGGCCGTCGGAAGGTCAGCGGCCGAGTGCCAATGCGGAGACCCCGCATGGCACTTATCCAGCCGCAGCACCAAGTTGATGGTGCGGAATTCAACTGCGGCGGCCGTCAGAAAGAAGGGGACGTTCCACTCATCCATACCCCCCAGCCCGTCATCCATAAAGCTTCCGACAAGTGCGGCCAGGAACTGCTCCTGCAATCGACGGAGGGCCGGCTGAAAGGCGAGGCAGAAAAGGAAAGGGCCCGCCGCATTGCCCTGCTGTACGCCTTGACGGCTGTAGATGGTCTCGACACGCCCGTCCTCCATAGTGTACCACAGTGGCGCGGCTTTACCGTAGAACTGCCAGAAAAATGCAACCATAGCCAAGTGCTTGACGGCGAGCTCGTCCATGATACGCTGGCGGCTGATCTCATTGAAGGCGTTGCGGCAGTCGAGGGAGAGGAGGGTGCGAGTGGTGGACGGCCGGTCTCCATCTTAGCCTCCGGGGTCCTGCGTCTGGATGTAGGTCTGCGCCGCGCGGAAGAGCTTCTCCCCGCCAGCCGACATGCCGACAGCAAACTGGTGGGGCCGGAACTCCTCCTCGAACTCCAGCTTGTGTTGCATGCACAGCGCGCGAGTCACCCACCGACGAAGCACGTCGCCAATGGCGATCGGCCGCACTCCTCCCCCCGGCTTTTCCAATGCGAACAGGCGGGCGGCGGCCAGTAGTCTCGTCACCAGTGGGGGCAAGTCGCCGTCTAACATCCGTTGCACGAACTTGAGAACGGGCACAGCCTCGGCGTTGGTGTGGGCCTCGCCAAGGAGCACTTGGAGGTGCTCATATCGCCAGCAGGTCGGTCCGGCGGCTGCTCCGCGCGGCGCGGTCTTCAGTGCAGCCAAAAGGAAGTCACGCTTGGTCTCCAGGCGAGGGGCGTCTTCTGCCGGCGCAGCGGGCCTGTCGATGGGAGCGGCGTCGGGGTGGAGGGCGCGCAGCTGATCGAGTGTCTGCTGATTCGCCGCCGCAACGGGCGCCGATGTGAGGCGACTCGCCGCGCGCGAGAGCTCGCCCAGGCCGACAAGGCGTGCCGCTGCTCGCCTTCGGACTGCATCCAATG